GGGTGGATAATGGAGGGAGGGATGGACGGATGGATGGATGATGGAGGGAGGGAGGAACGGAGGGAGGGATGGACAGAGAAAGACACAGATAGATAGGGCAGGCAGGCAGGCAGACAAGATAGAGAGATAGAGAGAGAGAGACAGACAGACAGACAGACAGACAAGGTAGGTAGGCAGGCAGACAGACAGACAGACGGTTAGACAGACAGACTGATTGGTTATACACTAGACAGACAGGTCAGACAGACAGACAATGTTCATTTCCAATGTTCATTTGCTTCTCCCAAACCCTCAACTTATCTGGATGTTCCCTGTTGTAGAAAATCATGCACACAAGAAAACGTCACCAAGACATGTTCCAGGACCTGAACCGGAAGCTGCAACATGCAGAGAAGGAAAAAGAATCTCCACCCATGGAGACTAAGGTGAGCCTTTCCAATCCTTGGAAGTTTCTGAGCTCTACCAGACCTGGATGCAAATAGTTTTTGTTTTGTTTTTGTTTTTTTTTTTAAAAAAACCCTCTAAGATCACAGAAATGAAACCAAGAAGGCAGTTTCTCTGCAGCTCCCAAGGTGAAGGAGCAATTGGCCAACAGTTTTAGAAGATCAAGATTCGCTCTTGGTGTTGATGGTGCCACCACTGGAAAAAAAATCTATGGGAGAAAATTATGAAATAAAAAAATAGGATCTTCCCTCTTCCCTAAATGTTAGAACCCCAATCATCCTTCTCAGAAATGTTCTCCTTTGAATAATCTTCTATTTGACCGATACTAATCTCTTGCTCCTGGGGAGGAAAGCTATGGCAAATCTAGACAGCCTACTAAAAAGCAGAGACATCACCCTGCCAACAAAAGTATGTACAGTCACGGTCATGGTTTTTCCTGTTGCAACGTATGGCTATGAAAGTTGGACCATAAGAAAGGCCGAGCGCCAAAGAATGGAGGCCTTTGAACTCTGGTGCTGGAGAAGACTCCTGCGAGTCCCCTGGACTGCAAGGCGATCCAACCGGTCAGTCCTAGAGGAGATCAACCCTGACTGCTCTTTAGAAGGCCAGATCCTGAAGTGGAAACTCAAATACTTTGGCCACCTAATGAGAAGGAAGGACTCACTGGAGAAGAGCCTAATGCTGGGAAAGATGGAGGGCAAGAGAAGAAGGGGACGACAGAGAATGAGGTGGCTGGATGGAGCCACTGAAGCAGGAGGCGTGAGCTTCAATGGACTCCAGAAGATGGTAGAGGACAGGAAGGCCTGGAGGAACATTGTCCATGGGGTCGCGATGGGTCGGACACGACTTCGCAACTAACAACAACAAAATCTCTTCAGAGAAATAGGCAGAGAAAGGTGGTCACGTCTAGTCAACATTATTATCTTTGAATTTAATTATCTCCACCCAGGATATTCCTAATCCTGGTGTTGGATTGGTGGCTTAGATCCCTCCAGATTGTTGCCAAAAGCCGAAATTTGGGAATGTAAGTCATATTGGTTTGTTTAAGTCTAACATGTCTAACGTGGTTTTTTTCCCCCTGTTTCTTGGATTTCAATATCTTTCTTGGAAGGTCCACCTTCTTTTGGCAGCCTTGTATGGTGGGTTCGAAAGGGGAGGGGAAAAAAACCCACCCTATTTTCTCTTGTATGTTTAGGCCATGAAAAGATGGAGCATTTCCTCAAGTGGCAGTGATAAAACTAATGCCAGCGTAAGTCTTACTGCCTGCGTTTCTCCTCCTAGGGCCTCATAGATACATCTCCTCTCCAACCTTCTTACGCTGCATGTTGCCAGCTACATCCTATCACCAGAAACCAACATTCGGCCTTCCTAGTCACAAGCCAACATTCTTGGAATGCTTCCTGCCCTCTTTCTGTATCCCATAGCGAGGAGACCCGAGGTGGTCATCCCTTCCACCTTGAGGGATCTTTGGTTGCATTCCACCCCAACCATCCATAATGACTTTCCTAGCCTTGCCCACCTCCAACATGGTAGATTTTCAGAACATCCCAAGTGGCATGCGGTTGCTTTCATTGTGCCATTTATACAGGTGGTCCTCGACAGCTCATTTGGTGACCGTCCAGAGTTACAACCAGTGATGTATGACCTTTTTTCACGCGGCTGTGGCAGCCTCCCCAGGGTGACGTGATCAAAATTTGGACGCTTGGCAACGGGCTCATGTTTATGACGGTTGCGGCATCCTGGGGTCCACGTGATCGACTTTTTTAGACCTTGATTCATGAACCGCCGTGTTACTCGCTTAACGATGCAGTGGTTCCCTTAACGGTGGTGGCAGGGAAGGTTGTAAATGGGGCAACACTGCCTGGATAAATTGGCAACTCAAATTGGGGATTGTGTGTTCAGGACTTACCTGTGTTCTACTCTAAGAGACATACAATTTTTATCAGAACTCAAGGCAAATCACGTAAGAGTCCCCACATAATAAACTTCCTGTGAGATGCCAAAGTCAACCCAGGGCAAACCTGGGCGTACAGGACCGATCCGATGTATTTCAACTTTTCCTACTTCCATCACCCACTTCAAATAGGTTAAAAGATACAAAAGAACTGAAATAATCTTTAAACAACTTCAGAAAAATACAGTACATGCACAGGAATAGAATAGGGGGTACCTTTCTCAATTGTCGTTACTGTGAGGGAGATCTGTTGTAAAGGAGAGAGAGCTAGTGGACAATCAACTACATATGAATGAACAAGGCGCTGTAGCCACCAAAAAAACCAACACAGTCCTACGCTGTATTAACAGAGGGATAGAATCGAGGTCACGTGGAGTGTTAATACCACTTTACAAGGCCTTGGTAAGGCCACACTTGGAATACTGCATCGAATTTTGATCTCCACGATATAAAACAGATGTTGAGATTCTGGAAAGAGGGCAGAGAAGAGCAACAACGATGATTAGGGGACTGGAGGCTAAAACATATAAGGAACGGTTGCTGGCATTGGGTATGTCTAGTTTAATGAAGAGAAGGACGAGGGGGGACATGATAGCAGTCTTCCAGTATCTCAGGGGCTGTCCCAAAGAAGAGGGAGTCAAGCTATTCTCCAAAGCACCTGAAGGCTGGACAAGAAGCCAAAGATGGAAACTAACCAAAGAGAGAAGCAATCTAGAACTAAGGAGAAATTTCCTACCATAACAGTAAGAACAATTCACCAGTGGAACGGCTTGCCTCCAGAAGTTGTAGATGCTTCATCTCTGGAGGTTTTCAGGAAAAGACTAGACAGCCATTTGTCTGGAATGGTAGAGGGTCTCCTGCTTGAGCAGGGGGTTGGACTAGAAGACCTCCAAGGTCCCTTCCAATTCTGTTATTTTGTAAGGTGGGAAACTAAAGCTCAACCTGGTACTGCCTTGGCTGGGTCTACTCTCAATAAGAGGAAGTACAAAGCCTTTTACATCAGGGGTCTTCAAACTTGGCCCTTTTATGACTTGTATACTTCAACTCCCAGAATTCCTCAGCCAGCCACACTGACTGAGGAATTCTGGGGGTTGAAGTCCACAAGTCATAAAAGGGCCAAGTTTGAAGACCCCTGTTTTACATCATTGTAGCTATTCTAATCCTCTCTTGGATCGGCAGGGGTTTTTTTTTAGCCTTGCAATTAAAATGTTGCTCTTTTATATCAGGTCATTCTGGGAAAAACATCCACAATTTCCTTTTATTTTTCCACAGAGGAACATCTCGTAGTACGATTCCTCATAAGAAGGGCGGCCTTAAGACCTTCCAGTTCAGTTTTGCAATTGACCTAAATCCCAGATCCCAACCAGCTGCCCAGGGGACATGGGCAGCATAGAAATAAAACAAAAATAAAATAAAAAAATAAAGTAAAATAAAATAATAAAATTAAATAAAATATGAAAAATTAGAATAAAATAAATGAAACAAAATAAATAAAAAATAAAATAAATAAAACTAAAATAAAATAATAATAAATGAAATGAAATAAAAAATAAAAAATAAAAAAAATAATAAATGAAATGAAATAAAAAATAAAAAATAAATAAAATAATAAATAAAATAAAATAAATAAGAAAAATAAAACAAAACAAAACAAAATAAAATAAATAAAAAATAAAATAAAACAAAATAAAAAATAAAATAAATAAAAACAAAATAAAAAATAAAACAAAATATACAAGATAAGACAAAATAAAACAAATAATAATAATAAAATAAAATAATAAAATAAACTAAATAAAAATAAACAAAAATAAAATAAAATAATAAAATAAAATAAAATAAATACAAAATAATATAAAATAAAATAAATAAAATAAAATAAAATAAATAAAACAATAAAATAAAATAAAATATAGACCATGCAGTCCTGGGCTCCATTAACAGAGGGATAGTATCAAGATCACGTAAAATGCTAGTACTGCTTTATTCTCCAGTGATAAGACCACACTTGGAATCCTGCATCCAGTTTTGGTTACCACGATACAAAAACAATCTTAGAAAGAGTGCAGAGTGCAGAGAAGAGAAGCAAAGACGATCAGGGGACTAGAAGCTGAAGCAGATTATGAAATGGTTGCAAGAACTGGGCATGTCTAGTCTAAAGAAGAGAAGGATGAGGGGTGACATGATGGCTTCCTTCTAATACTTGTGGGGCTGTCGTAGAGAAGAGGGGGGGGTGACTTATTCTCCAAAGCCCTGGAGGGCAGGACAAGAAGCAATGGATAGAAACTTATCAAGGAAAATCCCAAAGGTGCTTTTCAATAGGCAACTGGACCTTTCTTGGTTTTTACCTTGAAACCTTTTTTCTTCTCATCCAAGAAGTTTCTTCAGTTCTTCAGCTTCTTTTGAAAGAAAAAAAAACAAAACCCAAGAAAGTCTAATTGCTTTTGAAAAGCATCTTTGGGGCAGCCATGACCAGGGTGATTGAGATCCTCCATAGACATTGATCAAGGAGAGAGCCAACCTAGAAATTTCCTGGCAGTGAGAACAATTAACCAGCGAAACAGCTTGCCTCCAGAAGTTGTGGGTGCGTTTCATTGCTGGAGGTTTTCCAAAATAGACTAGACAGCCCTTTGTCTGGAATGGTGTAAGGTCTCCCGCTTGAGCAGGGGGTTGGACTAGAAGACCTCCAAGGTCCCTTCCGACTCTTTTTAATCTGTATTCTGTATCCCTGTTTGGTTCTGGCATCTCACTTCCTTTTTCCTTCTGTGCTCTGATTCTTTTCTAGCAAGAGAAGCAGCCGACACCAAACAAGAGACCTTGGGAAACGCTCCGGAAGGTCCACTCGCCCCCAGCTTGGGTCAAAAAGGAGATGGAGACTGAGATTCAGTCTCCTTTAGAACTCAAAACTGTGGAATGGGAGAAGTCAGGCACAACAATTCCCCTGGTGGGACAGGACATTATTGACCTCCAGACAGAGGTCTGAGAAGGAGGAGGAGAGAATAAAAGAAGGGAAAAAAAAGACTCTTTGGGTGTCTTTCCTCACCCTACCGGAAAACAAAACAAGAACAAAACATAAACAGGTTAGAAACTTTTTTAAAAAAGAAAGAAAGAGAGAGAGAGAGAGAGAGAGAGAGAGAAAGAAAGAAAGAAAGAAAGAAAGAAAGAAAGAAAGAAAGAAAGAAAGAAAGAAAGAGCCCGTTGTGTGGAATTAAAAGGCAGAGAACTGAGCCAGCTGGAGTCTCGCTGAAACCTAACTGCAGGAAAATACAAGAATATCTCGGTTACGTCCGCCATAGACCGAGATGGAGGAATTACCATTCCTTTTTAGAGCACAGTAGTAGTAGTAAGTGAACGAAACCTGACTTTTCCCGAGTAACAAAGAAGAAAGAAAGGTTGGCCGAAGGGAAGGGTGGAAATTGGGGAGGGCAAAAGAAGAAGAATTAAACTTTTTCCAAATGTCCTTAGAAGAAAACGAAGGACGAGTGGAGGGGCTTTGATGTGGATAGGCACGTGGTGATAACAAATGTCAGGAATGACAAAAAAAAAAGAAGTGACAAGCAGAAAGAACAACATTAACGGGAGACCAAGCAGCGAAGAGATCACTATTGGACACTAATCTACTAGCACTTTGTCTCCTGAATCCATGAGGAATGAAAAAGAGAAAAACACTCATCATCTTTTCACGCCTCCTCGTCACCAGTGGGAAAGCCTCAGAATCTCACACAAGACATCTGCCCATTGGACGTCTCCATCAACCCTCCGTTGACCTCATTGGGAGAATATCTGTGGAGAAGGAGAACCAAGGGAGACGGACAAACTATCCGGGCTGGAAGATTTCAAATCCCTTTCTTCTATTCCAATTTTATTTTTTTGGGGCGACCTCTTCAGCATCGGTAAGCGGAGTGTGACATTTGGACAACGAACAAACTCCTCTTAAGTTAAAAATCCATTCAACTGGAGAACCACCACAAAACCTGCTTTACTGGGTAAAAAGGGAGGGTGTTTTTTTTTTTAAAATAAAAAATAAATAAAAGGAAATCAATGAACACACAAAAAAAGAATGTAGGTCATCCTATCAACTCGTTAGTCAGTCATCCAGAAACTCGTGGTGGGCTTTTGTTCCAATGGTTCCTGCGAATTCAGGGTTGTTGTTGTTTTTTGTTTGGTTTGGTTTTTTCCTCCTATTTTTCGTTTTGAAAGACACAAAAAAAACCCCTCCCCATCTTTTGACCCATCCACTCTTCAAAGCAGAAAGTCCTCAGCGAACTAACCTGGAGACATTGAATAGAACATTTGCCTTAGACTTTGAGACAAACCGAGACAAAAAAACACACAAACACACACACAGTGAGTAAAGTTCACTTGGGGAAAAAAAAATCTCTATTTTTTTTCTTCGGTTTTTTTTTTCCTTTTCTTCAATAAAAAGAGAACTTGAAATCCACCAACTTTCTTTGATTTTTTTTCGAGCGCTTTTTTTTTCTTTCCTGATTTTGCTTTCAAGGAAAATGTGAGGATGCAGCTGACTTTCAAATCTTTGTAATCCCTGGGGTTAGGATTGTGTAGGAGGTTGCTAATCCTTTCTCCTTCTGTCTTTGTGTTCCTGGGTAAATAATCTGATTTTGCAGACATCGAAATCTGAAATGGCCTGCTTCCCTCTTGCACCATGTCCCAAAGGTGCTTTTTCAGGAGGCAACTGGACTTCCTTGTTTTTCTTTGAAGACCTTTTGCTTCTTATCCAAGAAGCTTCCTCAGCTCTGACTGGATGGTGGGGAATGGAAGGATTTATACTCCTTGCAGACAGCTGGTCATTTGCATCCTTTTAGAAAGTCGTTGAGACCACTTGGAGGTTTCCCTGTGTTCTCAGGGTCACCTGAGCGGTGCAAATGGGTGTGGAGCCTTCTTGGTTGCAGGATGTTTTCTGCCCTGGGTCCCTTCAGCGTTGAAGACGGGTGCAGGCTGTTGGGGATGAATCCGTGTTGTCTGCACCTCCAAGTGAAGCGCAGATGGTTCCTATAGTCTGCAATGTTTTCTGGAAATGCACCTGTCTTCAGTGTCTTCAACAGTGAAGGGACCCAGGCAGTGGTAGGATTCAAATATGCGAACAACCAGTTCTCTGTCTGGATGCTGCTTCCGGAAGTCCATTCTGGGCCCGGGCAACAAAAAATTAACTACCGGTTCTGCAGAAGTGGTGCGAACCAGCTGAATCCCACCACTGGACCCAGGACAGTAAACATCCTGTAGCCAGGAAGGCTCCACACCCATTTCCACCACTCAGGTGACCCTGAGGACACAGATAAACCTCCAAGTGGCCTCAATGACTCTCTAAAATAATGCAAATGACCAGCTATCTGCAAGGAGTATAAATCCTTCCATTCCCCCACCATCCAGTCAGAGCTAAAGAAGCTTCTAGGATGAGAAGTGAAAAGTCTTCAAAGAAAAACAAGAAAGTCCAGTTGCTTCCTGAAAAAGCATGTTACACAACTTCCATCCTATTACACAATATTTTCAATTTACCTTCAAAACTTGCAAATTCCATTTTGAAAGAATGATACAGGTCATCCTCTGCTTGCAACAATTTTGTTTGGTGATCGTTCAGAATGACCACGGCGCTGAAAACAGTGACTTGCAACCAGTTTCCCCACTTACAACTGGTCACGTGATCACAATCTGGGGGCTTGGCAACTGACTCATATTTATGATGGTCACAGTGTCCCAGGGTTACGTGATCACCATTGGTAATTTTCCCAGCTGGTTTCCAAAATGGGGAAGCCATCTTTGTTTAACCACCGCAGAATTCACTGAAAAATTGCAGTGATTCGCCTAACGACTGTGGCATCAAATGGGGCAAAACTCACAATTGTCTCGCTTGGAAAAGGAATTTTTTGGCTCAGCGGTGATCATAATTCAAGAATAATCTATATTGATCGGGGACGCTATTTTACCTCAGGTGATCACTGATGTTAAAACTGACTAGGCAAATTCTAAAAGTGGAAACTGGGGACTGTTTTAAGGTCTATTTTAGAGAAACAAAGCATCAGAAGGCTTTTAGGGAAGTTTGATGTGAATTAAATAATACAGGTAGTCCTAGGCTGCATTAACAGAGGGACAGAATCAAGATCACGTGAAGTGTTAATACCACTTTACAACGCCTTGGTAAGGCCACACTTGGAATACAGCATGCAGTTTTGGTCACCACGATGTAAAAAAGATGTTGAGACTCTAGAAAGAGTGCAGAGAAGAGCAACAAAGATGATCAGGGGACTGGAGACTAAAACATATAAGGAACGGTTGTTGAAATTGGGTATGTCTAGTTCAGTGATGGCGAACCTTTTAGAGACCGAGTGCCCCAAAACCGCCTCGCCCCTGCCCCATCCCTGCCTCTCCTGCCCACAGGTCCACCCACCGCCTCAACGGCCTGCCACATCAGATTGCCCAGGCGGCCCAGCAGCGTCATGGCGGCCATGCCCTCTGTCCGCGCCCTGCAGCATCATCTGCATGCAATGGGGCGTGAGGGCGGAGTTTTGTCCCCACTGCCTGGCTGCCATGTCCTTGGCTGCATTGCTCTGCATAGGCTGCACCCAGGGCGACTCTCCTCCGAGAGGGCTGCTGGTGAGGAGGGGGCCATGGGGGGTGGTGGGGGTGGGGCAATGGTGTGCGTGCCCACAGAGAGGGCTCTGAGTGCTGCCTCTGGCATGTGTGCCATAGGTTTGCCATCACTGATCTAGTTTAATGAAGAGAAGGACCAGGGGTGACCTGATTGCCCCAAAGAAGAGGGGGGTCAAGCTATTCTCCAAAGCACCAGAAGGCAGGACAAGAAGCAACAGATGGAAACTAATCAAGGAGAGAAGCAACCTGGAACTAAGGAGAAACTTCCTGACAGTTAGAAGAATTAACCAGTGGAACAACCTGCCTCCAGAAGTGGTGAATGCTCCAACACTGGAAGTTTTTAAGAAGAGACGGGACAGCCATTTGTCTGAAATGGTATAGGGTTTCTTGCTTGAGCAGGGGGTTGGACTAGATGACCTCCAAGATCTTTTCCAACTCAGTTATTCTATATTCTATTCTATATTTTATATTTATAGAACAGAACAGAACAGAATAGAAGCTGGAAGGGACCTTGGAGGTCTTCTAGTCCAGCCCCCTGCTCAAACAGGAGAACCTATGCTATCTCAGACAAGTGACTGTCTAGTCTCTTCTTAAAAATCTCCAGTGATGGAACGCCCACACTTTCTGGAGGCAAGCTGTTCCACTGGTTAATTGTCCTCACTGTCAGGAAGTTTCTCCTTAATTCCAGGTTGCTTCTCTCCTTGATCAGTTTCCAACCATTGTTTCCTGTCTGGTGCTCTGGTGAGTAACGTGACCCCCTCTTCTTTGTGGCAGCCCCTCAAATACTGGAACCCTGCTATCATGTCTCCCCTATTTCTTCTTTTCTTTAAACTAGCCAAACCCAGGTCCTGCAGCTGTTCTTCGTATGTTTCGGTCTCCAGGCCTTTGATCATCTTAGTTGCTCTTCTCTGAACTTTTTCCAAACTCTCAACATCCTTTTTGTTGCATGGTGACCAAAATTGGCTGCAGCATTCCAGGTGTGGCCTCACTAGGGTTTTATAAAGCGGTACTAATACGTTGCGTGATCTTGATTCTATGCCTCTATTTCTACAACCCAGGATTGTGTTAGCTTTTTTGGTTACTGCTGCTTGTCAGAAGATTGTCTTGGCTTGTGAGAAGCTCGCAAAAGGAGATCACATGACTCCGGGACACTGCAATGGTCATAAATACGAGTCAGTTGCCAAGCATCTGAATTTTGATCACATGACCATGGCGATGCTGCAGTGGTTGTAAGTGTGAAAACTTTTTTCAATGCCGTTGTAACTCCGAATGCTCACGAAACACTGTACTACTGTAAATCGAGGACTATCTGGATGGGATTTGTTCCTTCTTGCTGATGCCCATAGAAATTACGTTTTTGCCATTATAGTCCTTTCC